CTCTAACCTATCACAAAGCATTGCACTTACACATCAAAGCCAATTTACTGGGGCTGGGGATTTAGCTCAGCGGCAAAAGCGCCTGCCTGGCATGCGCAAGGTCGTGAGTTCGGTTCCCGGTACCGGAGAAAAACCAAAAAAAAAAGCCAATTTACTAACCTCTTTCAGTATATAGGAAATGAAACTCACTGATTATCAGAAAGTTGTACTTATTTAGGTCTAATTATTTGCCTGACTCCATACAAAGCAACAAAAAAGCACCATGAAACTTGATTTCAGGTGCTCTTTCTTTCTCTCTTATCCCTCTCTGTATTGTTAGGATTTGGACAACAGTTAATATTTTTTAAATCCTGAGGTTGCTTCTAAAATTTTGCCTGGGGACCTGTCTTGATTAGTTTTCTCTCATTGCTGAGACAAAATACCTGACACCCAAAATTAAGGAAGGAAGGAAAGAAAGGTTTATTTAGTTCACAGTTTGTGGAAGTTTCAGTCTAAAATCAGCTGGCTCCATGGCAGGGTGGTGTGTCAGACAAGCAACAGTTCATGGCAGCAGAAGATACCAAAAGCAACAAGAGCACAAAGGGAGGAGCACAAGAGAAGCTCTTTCTGTCCCTTGTACTATATGTAGGCTACCCACCTTAGAGCGGTGTGGCAAGTACATCCATAATCCAAGCACCAGACAATGAATCAGTCACAAACTCTAAATTCAGCTGCCTCAAAAAGCATCCCCCCATGACTGCATGAGGCTCTGGGGGACATCTAGACACGAACCATAACAGGATAAATGTCTACACAGTAGTCAAGGTGGCTTCATGCTGGGTCAGTCCTTGGCAAAGATGGGTGGAGTCTCACTTCAGAATCCTAGAGAGCAGCCCCTGTGTTCTACTAAGATGGAACGAGGGCAATGGAACTCAGTAATCATTCCCAGTGAAAGAAGAGGAAGAATGACAGGCATACAGCAGCCTCTGATCTGTAACAAATGTGTGAATCCTACTGGGCCAGACATTATGAAATCCCTTGATGATAGTACAGATTCCTCAAAAAGTTAATAGGCTTCTGATTTTCCTTCTGCTAGCCAGCTGAATGTGTCAACAACCTCATGAAGCTTCAATTCCACTTTACTTACTTGCCTTCATGCCCAGATGCTTCTCATTCTCCCTGTCTCTCTCTTTTCCCTCCTCTCTCCCTTCTTTCCTTTTCCCTCTTTCTTGATTTAATAACAGCTGTTTTGTCTATCAGACCATGAAAGTTTGTGTCTCATAAAGAATAGCACCTTGCACCTGGTATGCTCAATAAACATGTATTGAATTAAGCACCTGGGAAAATATACCAATATCTCCAGTTTATCTTGAAATATGCAAAAAAAAAAAAAAAAAAAAGAGTGTGGTTCTTCAATTTGAGAGAGTAAAAAAATCACTTGGGAGGTGTGATAAAATATATATTGGTGGGTCTAACTCCAGAGTTTCTGATTCAGTTGGCTTGTGATCTGGGGAGGGAGCTGAAATGGTTTGAATGATAGCTAAAATAATGGAGAGATAAGTGAATATGTGTTAGGACAAGGGCAGTAAAGTGACAACAATAGAAGCTGGGTAGTGGGTTTACAGACATTCATTGTAAAATTCTTTCAACTTTTATATGTCTTTAAATTTCTACAATACAAAGACATGCCCCCCCATGTCTGTACAGACACACACGTGCGTGCACACACACACACACACACACACACACACACACCTGTTCTTACTCTCACTTTCACTCTTTCTCTCTCCCTTCTTAGAAAAGAAAGAAAGCACCAAGACAGGCTGAGGATTTTGAGTCTTGAGCTTCCCAGAAATTAACTAATTCATCCACCACAGTCAAAGCAGTTATGCTCCAATAGCCTGGCTAGCAGAAGTCTGGAGTGAACGTGTGGATATTTCACCAATGGAGAGGTTCTCCTTCAACTTCCTTCTCTGTAGCCAAAAGCCAGATGGTTAGTACTGTAAAACTGTAGAGAAAGATTAGAAGCCAGAGTGTGGTTATGCTCTCCTAGGAGGAGGCCCAGGATGAAGAGGAAAAAATGCATGGCTCTCCTTAGCCAGCAAGCGGTACCCTGAGCCCACTGTCCTGCCCTCAGCTGCTTCAGTATAAGGACTGCACCTACTTCCTCTGCGCACCTTGCAGGTCTTATTGTTGTATTATAAACTGTTCAAATTTAAGAACAATACAAATGTTTTCTGCATTTTAAAGGCAAACTGGAACCACCTCAAGACAAAACTTGTATTATATCAAGCATGGAGGAAATTCCCAAGGTGGAGAAGCCCTCTGAGTTGTCACTAAACAAGAACAGTTATCATGATCTCAAATGTTTGTCCCATTCTTCCCCTTCAAGAGATATATGGCTTTGGACAATAGTAACAGAATTTGCAGTAGATGTAAGCAAAACCTGTCCTGACACTCATGTGCACATAATTGACCAAAGAGTCTGTGGCATCTTCTTTTATATCAGTCCACAAGCAACAACTCCACATGAATATGCTCCTTCCAAAGACCCCCAGCAATTTCAGACTGTAATTCCAGCAGTATGTGAGATGATCATGTGTGGGGAAGAATGAATAGGGAAGTGGAGGCCACTTTAAAGCCTGTTCACTTGGGCTTTGGCTCAGCCACTGGAGAAAGGTTTTTGTCTCTCTCCCCTCCAGCACCTTGCTGCTTCTCCCCCCACAGCTCTCCACAGCCACAGGACCAGAGGCAGCTCAGAATTTAAAAAAAGAAACAGAGCCAGTATCCATGCCACTCGGGAAAGCCCAAGTGTTTTTTTGTCATACTTTTCCCTGATGACCTTTTAATTAGCTTAATGAAGGCCTCCCTTGTAGGTGCAAAAAGAGAAAGAAAAGAAATGAAAAACAAGGAAGTAGAAAAATTGTGTAAGACTAAATAAACAACCCTGATGACTCAGCATTGGGTACTGCATTGTACCCAGGGAATGGAGGGATCGCTTTTGGAGAAACATTCGACCCCTTTCACCATCCATAAAGTATGACCAAGACAGCTGAAGGAGGCAGCTCTACACTCTTTTACCACCTCTGGCAGCTAGAACTTCCCTCAAAGACAACCCATGGGCAAAGGAGCTCCTTTCCTATGGCCTCCCTGGTATCCCATTAGTCCTGCAACTCTGGAGTGCAGCATGCAGCTTAGCATAGCGTAGGAGCTCAATAAATGCTGGATTTTTATGTATGTGGATGTACAAGACCTTCCCACTCGTTCACCCTCCTCTCGCATCATCTGTGTAACCAGGAGGGTAGGGAGATGGCAGGGACATCAGCTCATAAGTGCTTAATACTCTCCTCACGAAGCTGTCACTCTGGCACCAACGTGCCCTCCCTACAGAGCAGGCTCCATATAGATTTTTCTCCTTTGAATTCTCCAAGATATATTGATCCAAACCAAGTGACATCGATAGACCCAGGTAACTGATAACGTTTTTGGCCTTTGCCTTAAAATATGTATGATGTAGTCTCAAGACGCGGCTTGGGTGCTTCACCACCCTCCTCTCTCCCACTCTCAGTCCATCATGACTACCGAACATCATCTGAATATCAGTTTCCTCCTCCCTCCCAGCTCAGACACTCATTATCCCGTGGGATGATGTAAAGAGGCTGTGGGTAGACATTAAAAAAAAAAAGTGCAGGCGACCAGAAATGGAGGGAAACCTGCAACGCCATTCCATGCCCCAAAACCAGATCTGCCAACTGCATGATGGGAAAGTCCTAAGATTCTGACTACTCTGATTCCATTTCTTGCAACAAAGTCACCCGGGTGCCCACTTCATCTGTAGCCTGGTGGGACTGCTCTGACTCACTTTGCCAGAAGTCTCTACCCTCTCTGCCTCTCAGGAAATGTCTTCATAGTTTGAACCTGATCTGGGACTGATGCTGATATGGCTTCGGTAAGAGACTTGGCCCTCCTGGGACCTGCTCAGCCTCTCTGTGCTCCTTGGAAGTACAGTGATGTCTCAGTTCATGACCGCTCTTCTTTTTTTGCATACAATTTCATTTGCAAACAGAAGCATTTGGCAATATTTTGTTTTTGTTTGCAAACTCTACATCGCATGACACACGAGTGCAGCCATCCTTCCCACACAAACAGAAATGTAGCCCTGTTTTCCAAAATTGTGGCATAAATTGAGTTTGTGAACGTAGGTACGACTATACTATAACATTTTCACTCCCAAAGGAGCCACAGTATGTATGTTGGCATAGACCGATTTGCACCTAGAAGTCTTGTGACCTGCAGCAGTATTATCACAACCCCCTCCCCTGTGACATGGAAATAATAATACAGCAAGTATTAACTGAGCTAAAATAACATCCTATTTATTTATTTATTTTGTACTGGGAATTGAACTCATGACCTCAGCCTTGCCAGACAAGTGCCTATGCCACTGAGCTATATCTCCAGCCCAATTCAGCTAAAATATATGCAGTATTTGTTCACCACTGGTACACAGTATTAGTAGTAAAATAACAGTCTCTCCCTCTTGCGCACTTATTATGCATTAGACAACACTTACATTAATTACTCTAACCCTGACCATTCTGTGAGACAAATGCAGTTGTCAGTGTCATTTATAGATGTGGAAGATAAGATATAGAAAGGCTTAGAAACTTGACCCAAACCTACAACTAGTAAGTGACAGAGCTAGGATTTGAACTGAGGTCCATTTGATTCAGGGGTTCATGTGCTCATCGACTGTACTATAACCATGTTCTACTCAGTGCATATATTCCTCTTCTCCCTTTCCACCCACTTCTCTCATGCCACCACTGCACTATGAGTTCTCCATCAGGATACAAAGTCTGACATTAGGGGGTCAAAGAATGTTTTCCATAAATAGAAAAATAGTATTTGTAGCTTTGTAAGCCATATGTGTAAATCTCTTTCATGATTTACCTCGGCTGGTATGAAAGTAGGCACAGATAATACACATGTAAATGGGTATCGATGTGATCCAAGAAAACTTTATTGATAAAATTGTGGCTAAATTTATCTTAAAGGCCATAGTTTGATGGCCTCTGATCTGGAGTACAAACACATTTCTAAAGAAAAGAGACTGGAGAGGTATTGGCAAACAGTAGATACCTTATAAGTACTTGTGGATTGATTTTGAGGTCATTTTACTAGTCTACTTAAATTCAGGCAGTAGAACCAATAAATAGTTCTTTGATTACAGTTTCACAAGAACGCTGATTCCACTTTTACTTGAATTTATGTCAGAATGTTTTCCTCCTATCTTGGACCATCTGTTAATTGGAGTATTTCTCTCCAGAGAGCTAATGGTCTATTACTCAAACACAAAGCTCCCACTTCCACGCTGGACATCCACACCCACCAACTCTCCTTGCAGTAACTACATCTACAACAGAGGTCTGTGTTTCCAGAGAGAAGGGTCTGCTACTTCCTCCCTGGGTAAGTGGACCACATGCAGTTCGAGGAGGACCCTTCACAATACCCCTCAGAGAAACCAAGACTCCTTGATACTGCAGCCAAGACAGCAGCTGCCTGGCCTCCTTCCAGAGGTGAGACAGCCATCTTGGATGAAGCATTTCCCCTCAAAGGAAGGGCCAGTGTGATTAAAGTTTCAGCGCTACAGGAGAAGCTTAGGGGACAGCCAATCTGGCAGTGGCTTGGGGGTTGCTCACCTCCTCTACAGCTGTCACCCCTGGAGACTCAGCCTGCAATAGACAAAGAAAACATATTTTTACCTGGTTTGTTTTCATTTGTATTTATTGGCTTGTGGTCATGAGCTGTCTGAAATGCTCATATGTCTCCAAAACAGACTACAGCAAGAAGACCAATCTTAAAATTGAAATGAAGCTAAAATTAAAAAGCCACTGTCGTGATCCATGTCACCTACAATGCTGAGTGTTTTGGAGGTGGGCAGGAGGCAGCAGGGAACTTCATTCTGATGACTACAAAAGAGCTAACCACTGAGCAAACTTCTTGTTTGGTGCTGCTTCCTTGGCCCCCTCAATTCTTCCCATTCTCCTTCCTGCCTCTTTCTGAATGCATCCTCTGCTGCCTCACAGCCCACAAAGGCTCCATACGGAGCCCAAACGGTCTCTACTATGTGAAGTTCCTCTCTGGAGGCAGGTTTGGCAACAAAGCAAAGGGAAACTGCTAGTTCCAGCTCAACATCTGTGCTTTTCACTGCTTGGAGTATCTCTGGTTCAGATCACAGTCACTGTTTGGTGAAACCCCCACAACAAACAGATACACCCACCCCTTCCCTCACTAACCTCCTCTCACCCCCAAGTTCTCATAGTATATTCTCTCTAAGCCTCATCACTTGGCCCTTTGCTATCCATTGTCTTGTATTCTTCTCTAAAGACCCTGGATGTTACCTTCCCAATTATTAAAGGAGGTCCATGAGGGTAGGGATTTTTTTTATCAAAATACTAACCATATCTAGATATACTGAGGACAAAATCCATAATGAATAACCCTTGGCTTAGTACTTCACAGTGTTCCACCAGTGGGCGGCAGAGGACATGGTGGTACACATCCCCACCTTTGTGAGCGCACTCCCTCCATCTAGAAAACCTCTCCCCATCCCCACCCCTCACACAGCCACTGCCCCCACAGCAGTCAGATCCCAGCTGAAACACCACCCCACCTCCAAAGAGGCTTACTCTTGTCACTCAAGCTACAGTAATTTCAGAGGTGTGCTATAAGCTTTTGTTGAATGAATGAATGTCCTTTATTTTGTAGATGAGGAAACCAAGGCTCACTGGTGCTATAAATCATTTGTTCATGATCAAAAAGCTACTAAAAGTCATAGACTGAGGTTGTCTAACACTAGAATACTAGAATGTTTATATTTCTCTTGGGCTACAAGTGCACCTTGGCATTATTCCTTATTCAATATGTATCTGCCTCAGTATTCTGTAAGCTTCATGAGGACAGTGTGTATATCTGTCAGATTCCTCCTCTGTGGCTCTAACTAGTACAGGGTGTGGCACATCAGTATTGATTGTTATGATACAGGTTACGTATGCTAGTCAACATATTACCATCTAGTCTGTCTTAATGCATGCTTCTTCATAGACTAAGAGTGGTGAACTTAGGACAGACACAAATGATATAAGCCTTCACCTGCTCTAGTCCTCTTTCTCCAAGTACTAAATCAGCCTTTTCGTGGCATGTCTTCTGGGATGCACAGTTTCAAGGATGTTTGGGGAATTTCTCTGAATACCTGGAGTGAGAACAGGGAAATTGAATATCTAACATGAATGGGTTTTGTGCCAAGTTATAAATCTCAGCTAATTATCACACAGTCCTGTTCCTTTGGGGTATTTCATCAGGCATGAACTACCTTCACTCAGGAATCGCAGTCTGTGCCGCTCTCCTCCTTGGTCCCTCCATTCCTGGGACGGGTTTCGGTTCGAGTCAGAGAAGTAACGAGCAGTTGGCTCCTCTTAAAGTGGAGAGTTTCATGGCTGGGAGCAGAAATAGCAATAAAGATAGAAATTATGAATCTACCGCCAGCGGGGAAATAGAGCAGGAGGCTGCTAACACCATATTCATCTCTAGCAATTTCATAAGACTTATGTCATATACTAATACGCTTTTTTTTTCTTCAGGTTAGATTCCCCTTCATTTTACTCAACTACTCTTTTGCAATACCAAGTATATTTGTCCTCCTAGGCTCTCTTTCGCTCCTTCTTTCTACATGATTTCTCCTCTGCCTTCCATCTAGTCCTTCCCAGTTTTAAAAAGACAATGAAGTGTAGTTACATGCGCAAACTTCGCAGCCGCACTAATCTGGCTTTAAGTCCTTATTCTGTTACCAGCTGTTTGTATGTAAACAAGTTACCCACACTTCCCTGAGTCTCGATTTTCCTTTGCATAAAATAAATGTCGTGAGGATTAAATAGTATATATTATAAGAAGGGCTTAGCATAATGCATGACAAATAGTAAGAATTCAGTAATGATGATTGCATTATTCCTACTACTAGTCTCACTTCTCCCTACTCTGTTCTATCTTGTCCTTTCTCTTTGAGAATTTAACTATATCTATATAAACAGTCTGGCTTAATATAATTCTGATCACTTCATCCATCTCAGTATCCAGGTTGGTCAAGCTATTTGACTGGACAGTCCTTGGTATTTCAGATTTTCTCTCCCTCCGTTTTCCCTCCACATCTTTTGATCTTGAGACATTTTATTTCCTTCATCTTTGCTAAAAATACCTGTAAAGACAATGGCTATCAGCATCACCTTGCAGTCAAAAACTCCATCTGGATTCTGTTCAGATACTTGGCTGAGAGAGCAAGGATATCTGCCACTTAAAGTCTCTCTCTTTGCCCACCATGTTTAATTCATGTGTGTTGCAGACCATTTAAAGAGGCTCAATGAGCTGTGAAGATCAAGATATGAGCCATACAGATTGTACATTATTGAATTAAGATGCTAAATATGGGGCTTGAGTGATGCCAAGGAAGGAATAGTGAAAGCCTTAGTGGTTTATAACAATGGACAGCAGACTGGGTCAGTCAGTATCAAATTGAAAAGATGCATGATTTCAAGGAAAGGGCCATTTGTCATACTACAGTCATCCTCAATTCATCCCTCTCCCTCACCCTTTATATTCAATCCATCATTGAGACCTATCAGTTCTACCTCCAAATAAATCTCAAGTGTCCACTTCTCTTTATTCCCACTGCCACCACCCAAGGTCAAGCTGTGATCTCCTTTCTTTTTGAGTATTAGAATAGACTCACTGGTCACTTTGTTTCTACCTCGCCTTCCTCGGATCCAATCTCTACTGTTTAAAATTTTTTTATTGATCTTATAATAAAATCCAAACTTGTTATTAGAGTTTTAGAGCTCCTCATAGCCACCTTAAACCACTTCCATTTCTTGTTCTTTGTGCCCATATTTTGCAGACCCTCGCACCCTTCCCGGGTCCTCTCAGCATAGCCTGCCTCACTTAAACTCAGCTCACTATGCTGTTCATTCTCTCAACAACTTTGCTTATTGTTGTGAATTCTTTTCTTTTTACCCCGTGAGGGCAGAGATGATTCCTATCTTATCACATGTAACTATAGTACTTGGTCAATAAACATTTATAGAAATACCTAATGAATGAATCTATGGCAGGAATTTCCATTCTAGGATTTGATCTTTCAATGGCCAATTACAGACTAAACTCCCTTCCCGTATATCTTTACTTTCTTGGCTCTAGGCTGCAAATCTACAGCTACCGAGATAATTAAATGTAACAGATGGTTGATCCACAACAAAACTTTCATATTAGTGGAAATAAACCACTCACTCATTCAATAATATTCACTGAATACCTCTAATATGCAAGATATGGATGAGGCACTCACAATGCACTGATATTTAGCATCACCTCTGAGCAGAGCTTAGAATATGGGAGAAACAAACATCAAACATAAATAATAATTTTACCTGGGTTAAGTTCTCTGAGGCAGAGGGAAAGTGTAATGCTGGCAATAACAATGGGGAAATGGTGGTTAGGAAAGGCCCATCTGAAGAGAAGACAAAACATCTCAGCCTCAGTCTGATGGATGCTGGGTGAAAAGTGAAAGGGACATGTCAAGGGAAAGCATCTGGCCATCTGTGTAGCTTGAATCTGAAAGCAGCAGTAACTTTGCTATGTCCCCATGGATAAAGGGCTCCAAAGGCGCCCTTCCTCTACCCACCATATATGAAACTCTCTCCCCTTTTTATCTATAAGGGAGATTAAATTTTCAAAGATGGATTCTTTTCCCAAAAATACAACTTTTATAACCCAAGTCTAGGCATTTTGAACTCAGAAAGAACACCGAACAGCTTCCTCCTTTGTCCCAGCAATGTCTTTCTGTGTCTTCATTATATGTCTATGGGCTCTTTTAGGACTACAGCTAATCTGAAAACTCTCAACGCGTCAATCTCTCCCTAGGTGGCATGATCTGTCTCTTTATCTCCAGAGAGGAAACCATTTACCTCCAAATCCTCTGGGTGGCTGATAGAACATGAGAACAACACTTAGGCATTTTATGGCATAATTTTCCAGGCATTATTTAGGGAAAACATCTACATTAATAGGCTGGGGATATAGCTCAGTGGCACAGTGCCTGCCTGGCAAGCGCAAGGTCATAAGCTTGATTCCCAGTACTAACAACAATAATAACAAGATACATTATTTAATAGTCCATAACTCCTGCCAACTCCTTATACAAGTCTGGGTGTATGAACCAGGTGAAGAAGGAAAAACGGATGAAAGATCAGTACCCTACTTGACCTTCAAGGCATACATTATTCTTCTGGACAAGATCTTTGAGAAGAAACCCCTCTTTGCAAAGGGTGACTTCTATTAGTCACACTCACACTAGGGACATCCAGGACCTGGAGGAATGAATCTAAGGGGAACAATGAATTAAATACCAGTTTAGTTATCTGTGTACAAAATTGTAATTCTGCTCATTGGGTGATAGAATTTATTCCTACCTTGACGTGTGACCATGAGAAAGTCTCTTTACATTTCTGAATCTCAAGAGCCTCTCCTTCTCTGGTACAATGAAGTAACCAAAGTAGGTGGAAGGTTTCCTAATGCATGTTTTCAGTCCATAATCCTGGCCAACACCAGTAAAGGAGAGTCCAGCTCACTCTGCCCCCAAGTGGGTTCTCCAGGAGAAGTTACTAGTGGGGCGCTTCATGCTCCTAGAAACACTGTTTGAAAACCACTAAATTATAATCTGCATGGTCTTTGATTCTAAAGGCTGGAGGAGGGGGGACAGCCTATGCTAGGACTGAACTGCACACCCTAACTGCTTATAGTGAAGCCATAATGTCCACAGTGACCATATTTTGACATAGGGTTTTTAGAAATTAATGGTTAAGCGAGCTTATAAGATAGAGTCCTAATCTAATAAGATTAGAGGCCTAATAAGAAAAGGAATAGGGGCAGATCTCTTTCCATGTGCACACACTGAAGACAGGTCATGTAAAGATACAGTGAAAAGGCAGCTATCATAAACTAGAAAGAGAGGCCTTTACAGGGCACCAGATAAGCCAGCACCTTATCTTGGACATCAAGCCTCCAGAACTGTGAGAAATAAATTTCTTCTATATAAGCCCCCAAATCTATACTATTTGGCTATATCAGCATGAACGAATACACCACAGCTGCACAATCGAGAGCCTTACAGTATAAAAACAAGAATGGCCATCATAACTGACTTGACTCCGTTAATGTTCTTAAGTCAGCGTTTCAGTTTAAAAGCAAAGAGATGTCCATTTCCACTACAAGGGCTTTCTCCTCTTCTCCAGATCACATTAATATCCACCCCCAAGAAAGTTTTACTGTTCCCATGTTTTGTATGTTTATCTCTTAATTGAATAAGGAAAATCTACCTAATTTAAAAATCATATAGGTATGCAGGTCTCTCCAGGGCTTCCTCCTAACTTTTATTTTATTCTTCTGTCAAACTACCACAGCTGACACCCTAGTAAATGTCAAAATATAAAGATCAAAATGTCACATGCCCTCATCTACGGCATCCATAGCTCCCCTACAAGTAACCTAGGTTACAGGCCACTAATGGACCCCTCTACACTCCCTGTATTTCTCTGCTTCTATGAACTGTTTCTTCACCTGGAATGCGTCTCCCACCATTTCTGGCTGTCTAAATACCAGAAGTTCAGATGCTATCTTCCCCATGAAAACCTCTCTGAAATCTCTAGTTGGAAATATTATTTTTACCTCTTCTGAACTCCCATCACCAATGACAATGCTGATCGTGGCATACAGCTTCTATTTTTTCTATAGCTGTCTGATAACGTCTTAAATCTTCTTCTAGATCGTAAATGTCTTCAGGATAAGAACCTTATCTTATATTCATCTTTTAATCTTATATAGTACCTGGCATGGTGCCTTATAATTAAAAGGTACACGATAAATAATGGCTAAATGAATGGATGGATGGATGGATAAATGAATTTGAGAATAACTGTATCTGATTAGGTTGGGAACAACTAAGTATAAATGGAGTTTTTAATATGCCTCTGCATAAAAAAAGAAGTATAAGCCTAGAATTTGTGGTAAGTTTGGGGCAGATGTCAGAGACGAAAGGTGCAGGAACTCATAATTCATTCAGCAGCTTCATGTTTGTTTTCACTAACAATATGCTGAGAACTTTTTATTGCCAGTAAGCAAAACAGACAAGGTTCTTGCCTTCTCGGAACTTGCAGTGTAGTAGGAGAAACAGATATTAAGTAAATACTTGAGTATTATATTAAATAACAATTATAACACTATAAAGGAAAAGAAGTTGCTCTGGAAGAGAATGGAAAAGAGATATGATTTAAATTAAGGGGTCAGGAAAGGGCTCTCCAATGAGATGGCACTTTAGCTGAAGGTTAACTAGGTCAAAATCTGAAGGGTTGAGTGGGAATCAGCCAGGCTTAGAGGGAGACAAGGTCCCAAC